CTCGTAGAATATCTGCATTCAACCAAACATAGTCCTCACGGCGCTGTCGAATTGTAAGAACTTTTTTTGGAATCTTCAATAAAAGAATCCCAACTTAAATGGAAATTAGAGTAGACTTCGTCTTAGTTTACGTTCCGTAACAAATCTTGCCCCTGGTAAGCCGAAACCAGTTTGTCAATTTTTTTTTTATCTACAATCTCGACCTGCTTTATTTTTGAACTTGTTTGTTTGATTGTCGCCTCTCAAACTACTTGACACGCTGTGAAATAATGATCCGCCAGTTTTTGCAGTATTACTGCTGACGTAATAATACAAGATGACGCACGCAAATGAATATGATCTATGCATGGTGATACTAATTTATCTGTCATGTATTCTTCCCGTGTTGGCGAGTTAATGACGTTCACAAATCCTACGTTGGATGGGACATTGAGATAGTCGCAGACAATTGAACTTGATGTTTTCAAAGAATCGATATTAAAATCCCTTACAAGGCAAATTTTTTCTATTGATGAGAGTCCCGCTAGTACTGTTTTTAGCTTGTTTACGAAAAGAGTCGGATCTCTGGAAGGGGGCCTGTAAAACGCTAACAGAGACCAGGAGGAGTTTTTGTTACTTAGGTTCAGAGAAAATGACCCTGAATGAGCGAAATAAATATCGGTCACCTCACTTAGCCAAACTTCCCTAACTACAGGTTTTCCCGCTCATTTTAATCCAAGCGACGACCAATTTAATCCCGGGGTCACTCAATTTAATCCAAGCGCCATACAATTTAATCCAAGCGCCACATAATTTAATCCCGGGGTCAGTCAATTTAATCCACATTATATATATGGACTTATTGTGTTCAGTGGTCGTGTTTTGCTTACACATTTGGTAACTTAGAATAATTGTTTATGCAATTTGAATTTTTGGGGGGCAATTGAGAATTTGATCACTAATGTGATTACTTTGAGTTACTAGTCCCACTATTGACGAGGCTTAATTGATATGTGGGTTACTCTTTTTACAGCGGAGCTCTTAGGCACCCATTTCCGGCTCAAGCGGCGTCGGCGTAACCACGCGGTGCATGATTGGCAAATTCCCCCGCTAAATTTAGCGGAAAATTTCCCCGCTAAATCTAGCGAAAAATTTTCCCTGCTAAATCTAGCTGAACATTTTCCCCGCTAAATTTAGCGGAAAAATTTCCCCGCTAAATCTAGCGGAAAATTCTTCCCGCTGTATTTAGCGGAAAATTTTCCCCGCTAAACCTAGCGGAAAAGTTTCCCAGCTAGATTTATTGGAAAATTTGCCCTGCAAAGTCGAGCGGAAAAGCTTCCCAGCTAAATTTAGCGGAAAAATTTTCCCGCTAAATTTAGCGGAAAATTTTTACTGCTAAATCTACGGAACATTTTCCCCGCAAAATTTAGCGGAAAATTTTCCCCGCTCTATCTAGCGGAAAATATTCCCCGCTATATTTAGTGGAATATTTCCCCCGCTAAATCTAGCGGAAAATTTTCCCAGCTAGATTTATCAGAAAATTTGCGCCGCAAAGTCTAGCGGAAAAGCTTCCCCGCCAGATCTAGCGGAAAATTTTTAAGCTAAATCTAGCGGAATGTTTTTCCTGCTAAATCTAGCACAACATTGCCCCGCTAAATTTAGCGGACGATTTCCTCCGCTAAACCTAGCGGAAAATTTTTTCCCGCTTTATTGAGCGGAAAACTTCCCCCGCTAAATCTAGCGGAAAAGTTTCCCAGCTAGATTTATTGGAAAATTTGCCCCGCAAAGTCGAGCGGAAAAGCTTCCCCGCTAAATCTAGCAGAAAACGTTTCCCGCTAAATCTAGCGGAAAATTTTTACTGCTAAATCTAGCGGAACATTTTCCCCGCTAAATCTAGCGGAAAATTTTCCCAGCTAGATTTATCAGAAAATTTGCGCCGCAAAGTCTAGCGGGAAAGCTTCCCCGCTATATCTAGCGGAAAATTTTTAAGCTAAATCTAGCGGAATGTGTTTTCTGCTAAATCTAGGAGAAAATTGTCCCGCTAAATTTAGCGGTCAATTTTCTCCGCTAAATCTAGCGGAAAATTTTTCCCGCTATATTTAGCGGAAAATTTTCTTCGCTAAATCTAGCGGAAAATCTTCCCAGCTAGATGTAGCGGAAAATTTGCCCCGCTAAGCCTAGAGGAAATTTTTCCCCGCTATATCTAGCGTAAAATATTCTCCGCTAAATTTAGGGAAAAAATGTCCCCGCTAAATTTAGCGGAAAATTTTTCCTGCTAAATTTAGCGGGAAATTTTCCTCGCTGTTTAACGGAAAAATTTCCCCGCTAAAATTTGCGAAAAATTTCCCCGCTAAATCTAGCGGAAAAGTTTCCCCGCTAACTTTAGCAGAAAATGTTCCCCGCTAAATCTAGCGGAAAAAGTTTCCCGCTGAATTAAGCGAAAAGTTTTCCCCGCTAAATCTAGTGGGGACATTTTCCGCTAGATTTAGCGGAGAAAACTTTACGCTAGATTTATCGGGAAAAAATGTTCCGCTAAATTTAGTGGGAAAAATTTTACACTAGATTTAGCGGGGAAAATTTTCCACTAGATTAAGCGGGGAAACTTTTCCGCTAGACTTGGCGGGGCAAATTTTCCGCTAAATCTAAAATTTTCCGCTAGATTTAGCGGGGAAAACTGTACGCTAGATTTAGCGGGAAAATTTTTCCGTTAAATTTGGTGGGAAAAATTTTACACTAGATTTAGCTGGGAAAATTTTCCGCAAGACTTAGCGGGGAAACTTTTCCGCTAAATCTAGCTGGTAAATTGTTCCGCTAGATTTAGCGGGGAAAATTTTCCGCTAGATTTAGCGGGAAAAATTTTCCACTAGATTTAGCGGGGAAACGTTTCCGCTAGGCTTTGCGGGGCAAATTTTTCGCTAAATCGAGCTGGGAAAATTTTCCGCTAGATTTAGCGGGGAAAACATTCTGCTAGGTTTAGCGGGAAAAAAGTTTCCGCTAAATTTAGCGGGAAAAATTTTACACTAGATTTAGCGGGGAAACTTTTCTGCTAGACTTAGCGGGGAAAATTTTCCACTAGAATCTGCGGGGCAAATTTTTCGTTATATCTAGCTGGGAAAATTTTTCGATAGATTTAGCAGGAAAAGTTTTCCGCTAGATTTAGCGGGGGAATTTACCCATCATTCTCCGCGTGGTTACGCCGACGCCGCTTAAGCCGGAAACGGGTGCCTAAAAGCTGCGCTCTAAAAAGAGTAACCAACATATCAGTTAAGCCTCGTCAATAGTGGGACTAGTAACTCAAAGTAATCACATTAGTGATCAAATTCTCAATTGCCCCCCAAAAATTCTAATTGTATAAACAATTGTTCTAAGTTACCAAATGTGTAAGCGAAACACGAACACAGAACACCCCCAATGAGCGCACATACATATATATATATATATATTGTGGATTCAATTGACTGACCCCGGGATTAGATTGTGTGGCGCTTGGATTAAATTGAGTGACCCCGGGATTAAATTGGTCGTCGCTTGGATTAAAATGAGCGGGAAAACCTGTAGTATTTCTATTCCACCAGCCCTGGCGCCTTGTCGCGTGCGAAAGAAACTTTTGTACCCAGAAAGAAAAAAAGTATCACACAGGTTATCATCGACGTTAATTTCAGTTAAAACCAAGACATCAAAATCTGTGCAACTATTTTTAACGAGTGCTGAGAACTGATCCCAGTATTTTGTTAGACTTCTGATATTTATATGCAATAAGGTAATCGTCTCACCAGAATGAGGACATAGCACTTCACGGAAAGATGACAAGTCGGGACATTCAAAAAAACGTTCTTCCATGACTCTAGACCATCTTGTCAATGTCACTTACGCTATTGACGCGAATGACCGGAGATCCTTCCTTCTTCTTTGCGAAAATCTTTGCGTTTTTTACCCACACGAACTGATATTGCTTCTCCTTGCCTCTAGATCTAGCCTTCCAAAAAAAGTTTCTTGTTGATGCGAGTGAGGTTTTCGTTAAAGTATAGAATAGGGAAGCCGGGCAGAGATCTGTTTGCCCCGCGATGCTATCCAGGTCTCTTAGTTGGTGACGGAATTAAACCTTACAATCACTGGACGAGCGAAATTTGAATCCTTCTTTGGAGGCAGGCGATGAACCGTAATTATGTCAGAGGGTTGAAAGTCCTTAATGTTTAGGCTAGAAGCCAGGTTGTCAACCAAATCCCGGACGTTCTCGGTTGGTTTGTAAGGTAGTCCGTGGACTTCCATGCTACTTAATCGGCTGTACTGATCGGAGTCATTCAGCTCTGCCTGTAATCGGCGTATTTTGGACCTCTGCTCGGTTACTGCTGATGTCAGAACGCATACCTCACTTTTCAGGCCTTTTATTTCACCAACATTGACTTTCACCTGTGCCAGCAATGAATCGTATTGCCCGGAGAAGAACTCCAACGATTTCTCGAGGCCCCTCATCGTCTCATTTAATGTTTCGCCAACCACTTTCACTGTTAGCAAATCGTTCATTTTTGCTGGAAGTTGCGTCAACTCATCAACCTTTTCTTTCAAAGGGAGGAGCACGTGCAGCTTGTCATTGATCGCACTCAGTTGGAGAGTCAAGTTGTCTTCGTTGATCATCGTCATTGTACCCACACCACCAAAGCTGCTGTTCTTATTGTATTTCTTAGCGCGGCATTTGGGGCAAACCCAACTCTCCCTTTTTGCCTTGCCCATGGTATTGAATGTAGCGTCCGAAACTCCCGCGCACGTTGGTGCAAGATGATAGGCACCGTGACATTCAGAACAGCTCAAAACTCGTCCGTCTGAAGGCACAACCTTTTGACAAGCGTAGCATAAAGACGAATCACTTGCTAGAGGGGAAGCCATACCGCGTTGCGAAGCGGACATTTTCCGGTGGCTACAATAAGGGAGGGAAGCCAAAAGCTCCTGTAAAGAAAACACCGGCTCACCGGACGTAACCGTAGAGTACAAACACACCACGTCGCATAGAATCAGGAAGGCACTTATGACCATGCGCTGAAGTTTGCGTTGACGTTTGCGCCGAGTAGGTGAATCCAAAGGCCCGGCTGCAAGCCCAGCACTGAAGTAACCTCAAAAGGACGAGGCGAAGAGGCCGGCCGTCGGATCAGAATGACGATGAAGATGGCGATCAAGATGGCGATCGTGGAGGTGGTCGAGCGGTTGCCCCAGACGATATTGTCGGCTGCTTTAGTTGAAAGAGCTTCGAGCCACAGATCCAGGAACTTGCTCCGCCTTGTGTAGATTTTAGGACGTCACCAATGGTCCTACATCGACGAAACCCGTGAACGTAATAATAATAATAATAATAATAATAATAATAATAATAATAATAATAATAATAATAATAATAATAATAATAATAATAATAATAATAATAATAATAATAATCAAGAATCAAGAATCAAGAATAATTTTTATTAGGTGTCCAGGAACGACCATGCGGTCTTGGTGCTGGCACACCGAAACTTACACACTACAAAAAAGTAGGAAAAAAACATAAAAAACTCAAAACATTGAGTAAAAGATATGATACATATAACGCAAGCTGACACAAAGATACGATATACACAACAAGGAAAGAACGGAACACAGGGTCCGAACGCAGAGTAGGAAGACTACCACAACAACGAATATACCTTCTTAAAATAATATATAATAACATCACAATCACCGACAGGTTCAGAGAGACACATACAAGAATCTGAGAGATCTGACAAATTCAGTCACACAAAAAATATCAAGATCACTTCCAATGCCATTATATGCCCGACACATACGAAACATCGGGTCCAAGATATTTAACGTTCGAGGAGAGTAAAAAGACGTTGTCAAACGGGTCGCTGTCAGAGGAACTCGCAAAGATATCTGTGAGAGCAGTTCTGAACAGTTGGCCATACCATGAAGGACTTTGAAAAGGAAAACCAGATCTGCCTTTTCTCGACGGTGATATAAGCTGTTCATTTGTAGGACGTCCAATACATTGTTACCCTTTGATATTGATGTTTCATCTCGCAGATCTCGATATCGATAAATAGATAAAAATTTGTTTTGCACTCGCTCCAGCCTTAGGAGGGTAGTTTTACAACTGCCATTCCATACAGGAGATGCATATTCGAGTTGAGACCTTGTCAAAGAGCGGTACAGGGTTATTGATATTGATATTTATTTATTTATTGCGTGCCCAAAAACACCATAATGGTTTTGACATTGGTGCACAGAAGTCAGATTCCTATGAAACATGCAAACATATGGAAACCACAATAGTCATATTAGAACAGTCAGCATAATAAAACAGTCGTAACAAAGTACATAAAATACACATCAGGTGTTAAAGGTAAAATAAGGCATGAAAAAAAAATCGTGCTGGACAAGGAGGTTGCATGATGTCTGAATACGATAGATTGGTGGCTCCTTTAATCGCATGTCGGGGTAGAACATGTCGCACTGTCGCGTGAATTTTGTTGGCACACGTAACTTTATGCTGTCCAAAAGGTCAGGTACGTCAATTGCACCCTGGATAAGCTTTTGTAGAAAAGCCGCATCTCGGCAATGCCTTCGGTCATCCAAAGTGCTGAGATTCAAAATCTTAAGCAGAGAATGGTGGTCGAAGTAAAGTCTCCTGTGGAAGTATCGATCATAGACTATGCGAACCAAACGCCTTTGCACCGCTTCAAGACGTCTAGATTCAGTCTCCGTTAAATGGTTCCACACGACAGAAGCGAATTCGAGCCTGGGCCTGACCAGAGCACAAAATAAACGTAATATGGCCTCAGGTGCTTGGAAGTGCCGAGTCAAACGGGAGATCATACCAAGCATTCTGAACCCGGTACCACAAATAGTAGTTACATGAGAACTGAACGTCAGTTTGCAATCGACTAACACCCCGAGGTCCCTGATCATGTCTGTTCGAGTAATAATACAGTTTCCCAACGTGTACTTAAAATGTAAGGGATTTTTACGTCTAGTTAGCGAGATGACTTTGTTTATATTCAAAGGCAAACGGTTCGATGAGCACCATTGCAAAATACTCGAAACATCAGACTGCAACGCATCACAATCTTTTTCAGAACAAATACTTGAGAATAACTTAATGTCATCGGCAAATAAAAGCACTTTAGCAAACTTTACACACTTTAAAATATCGTTTATAAATACCAGGAACAACAGTGGCCCCAACACTGACCCCTGGGGTACGCCTGAAGTTGGGAAAAACGGATTAGATAAAACAGTATCAATAATAATAATAATAATAATAATAATAATAATAATAATAATAATAATAATAATAATAATAATAATAATTTTTTATTTCACGTATTTCATAACAACATACAAGAATGCGGGTCCGTCGAAAGCCAAAAGAGGCTTGTAGGACTGGACCCAGCAGCGGCGTGAAGAAAATCAAATTCTGACGCTTGATTACAAAAAACAAACAAAACACTTAAAAAAAAACAATTCCAAAAACTATACATAAATAACTCTTAAAAAAATTTACTGACATGTAATCATACACCACAATAAATACACTAAAGGGGATTAAGAACGGATGGCCACGGAATACACTCTTTGACCACAAAAAATCTTCTATTCAAGAACTGGGAAGTGTGAAAGCAAAAAAAAAAAAAGAAAAAAACACGAGATGCACAAAAAGGACATGTTCAGAAGCAGGATATTTAGCAAATTGTTTTTAGTTGTTTTTTCAACTGACGCTTTGAACTGAGTTCCAAGAATGACTCTGAAAATGTATTGAAAAGTTCAGGGACATAGAAAGAGCGCATACGTTTTCCATATTTTGTGTATACACGAGGAATGAAAAATCGTTCACTTTCCCTTAAGTTGCGCTGCAGGACACGGGGCGTTTTGAAAGGGCTGTGCCAATAGTGTTTGTCAATTACACATATTTTATAAAGTGCTGAAAAACGCGGGAGACACAACGAAGAAAACAACTCTTCACTTGGCAGATCAAAAGAGGTGTACGCTACGCTTTTTAAACTACTTTTTAAGATGCTATCTATTTTGTGACACCAGAGCATGGAACAATTCGCATATATAGTAATTCCGTAACGTAACAGGCCGTAGGCTAAGGCATTGACTATCATTTTTCGGACAGACAGCGGTAAAAACGTTTTCGTAGTATATAACATACAAGATACACTCCTTAACTTTTTGGCTATGTAGCTGAGGTGTGAATTCCACGATAAATCGCTATCAAAGAAAATGCCTAAGTACTTTGTTGTGTTTACATATTCAAGAGGCATACAGGAGCAGTGAGTGCATTTCGACGAGTGCAATATAAAAGGAATATCAAGGCTTTTGCGTTTCGACGGACTACTGAAACACATAATTTTTGTTTTCTGAACATTTATTTTAATAAGATTTGCTTCGAACCAGTCCATAACTTTGGTCGAATTCTCTTGCAATGATACAGTCGCACTGCTCAGATTTAAATGTCTAGATACTAGCAGCGTATCATCAGCGTACTGATATATTTCGCACCCGGATATAGTTTTAGAAAGGTCATTGACATATAAATTAAACAAAAGGGGGGCTAAAACAGAGCCCTGCGGTACACCAGCTTTCAAAAGCACTTTGGCACTCCGGCTATCACACACTGAAACTTGCTGTGTGCGGTTCGTTAAAAAGTCTTTGAGTAAAGAAAAAAATGGTCCCTGAAGCCATAGTCGAATATTTTTTTCATTAGTATCTTATGGCTAATGGAGTCGATTGCCTTTGAGACATCAAGAAAGAGGGCACAGGCATATTTGTTATTTTCAAAAGTTCCATTCAAAGTGTCCACGAGTTCTTCGAGTAAAGAATCTGTTCCACGTCCAGCAACAAAACCGTACTGACACGGCGATAGCATATTAAACTTTCCAAGAAACGCGGTCATTGTTCTAAAAATATGCTTTTCTAGTACTAATGCTAAACATGGTAAAATCGAGATAGGCCTATAACTTTCAACGCTATCACGTGCACCACCTTTGTAAAGGGGCCGAACAATGGCACTTTTCAGGCCACCGGGAATGATACTAGAATTTATAACCCCGTTTATGATGTATAGCAAAACTGTGCTCAGCGCTTCAAAATTACGTCCTAAGTCGCAGAGACGAATATTATCTGAGCCGGGCGCCTTATTGGGTTTAAAGCTAAACAAAATCAAGCGTAACTCTTCGATTGTCAGGTTCGGTAAAAATGCAGAATGTAAAGAAGGACACTCTAGATTAGTCGGGGTCACGGTTTCGTCGCGCGCTACACCCGAGACTGAAGCAAAGAAGCGATTAAATTTATCAGTTATAGATGACACATGTGCGCCAAAGTTTTTTTTAATTGTGTCATCAATCGACGATTTAGACGAGCATCCCTTCACTTCGTTAACCAGGGACCAGGTTTTTGCGACGTCATGTCGGGAGCGGAAAAACTTTTCATTAAAGTGTTGGCGCTTCTTAGAACGTACAAGGGCATTTACGCGATTTCTAAGGCTTTGGTACTGTAACCTTAGCTGTTGGTTTTCAGGGAAACGGCGACATCGTGCCCATAAAGTATCTTTTTCTTTGATTGCAGAAAGAACATTTGACGTTAGCCAAGGATGATTTTTCCGCCTTTTTCTTATCGTAACATGTTTTGTGCTTTGATCTCTAAAGTTCAAAAGAATTTGACAAAGATTTAAGTAGGCACCATGATAATCATTGTTCTCGATTAAGGCATTCCAGTCATAAGTGGAAATTAGACTGTCAAGACGACGTGAATCGACAATGTTTACTTGTTTGGGTTGTTCTACCTTCTCAGGAGCGACAGCGAAATTAATTCGACAGGCCACGAAATAATGGTCCGCTAATTTCTGTGCGATAACGGCGGAGTCTACAGGTACCCCTGAATTTCTAATGTTAATATGATCAATGCATGATATAACGAGGTTGCCAGACATATATTCTTCTCTGGTAGGGATGTTAATAAGGTTTTCAATACCATGATTTGCAAGAATATTTAAGTAATTGCAGACAACAGATATCGATGGCTTCAAGATATCAATGTTCAGATCCCCTACAAGACACAACTTATCTGTAGGCACCATGTTTCCTAGAGTCATGTTCAGTTCATCTAAATAGTTAGAAACATTTTCCGATGGGGGTCGATAAAATGCCAAAAAGGAAATAACAAAATCACCTTTACTGAGTTTCAAAGATAGACACTCTGCATAGTTAAACGATACCCCCGACTCCACTGCTAACCAAGATTTTTTAACATACACAGCTATCCCTCCTCCCCTAGATACACTACGCGTCAGAAAGAACGCCTCAAATTCGGGAACAGAAAACTGACCGCGCGAAATTCCAACGTCCCGAACGTTTATTTCTGTTAAGACAAAAACGTCGACAGAATTTTCAAGTGCATGCACAACTAGTTGAAACTCATCCCAGTATTTCCTAATACTTCTGATATTTACATGTAAAACGGTAAGTGCGCTAGCACTAGGTGGAAAGGAGTCAAGAAACGAAGGAAAATCAACGCTCAATATTGTGTCTTCCATTTCTACACTATTTTTTCTAAGTCTCTAGTGCTAGCGATCCTCACCAGTGATGCGTTTTCGTCCTTTTTCGCGAAGATTGTGGCATTTTTCACCCAAACGAATTTGTAAGATTTTTCCCTGCCCTTAGTTCTCGCCTGCCAGAAGAGGTCCTTGTTTGCTCGTGTAAGGTTGTCATTGAAATATACTTTTTGTTGGCTTACGGACCGAAGAAGCGTGGCCAACTTCTTCCGAGCACTCATCCACTTTTCTTTTACAGACGTCGAGGAGAACTGAACCAAAATGGGGGCCGCCCCCTCGCGCCTCGAGCGCAGGCGGTGGCAAGCCACCACTTCGGCAGGATGGTGTCTACCGATGTTCAGTCTCTCGGCAAGGTCTTCGATAACTACCTTCACATCTTCGTCATCTGTGATAGGAATGCCATGAATTTCCATGTTGCACCTCCTACTGTATTGTTCAGTGGAGTTTAAGTTTGTCTGTAGTTGTTCGATCATAGAAGTTTGATTGGACACTGTTGCTTGTAGCGCTCCAACTTCTGATCGCAGTAGTTTTACTTCTTGATCGTTCTGCTGAACAAGCTTCATCATGGATTCACATTTGCGAACAGAATCTTGAAGACTCGAGATCGTTACCTTCATTGCATCAACAGATGGCTTCAATAACAAAAGGTCGTCTACTTTTGCCGGGAGGTCACAGAGCCGGTCAACGTTTGCTTTCAAAGTGTGAAGAAGCTCAAGTTTTTGGCTTATTGCGGCAAGTTGCGCGGACACGGTATCTTCTTGCGATGCTGACGCAGCCTCCTCGCTGACGCCTAATCTGCTTTCACGCAATCGGCACGTGCGACAGACCCATTTTTCGCGTTTCCCGGTTCCCATTGATCTGAAAGTTCTGTCCGAAATTCCGGAGCAGGCATCAAGATGATATACGTGATTACAAGAGCAGCATTTCATAAAAGCCCCGTCAGTTGGTACAGACGTAAAACATACAATGCAATCTGTAGTGTTTGCATTAGCCATGACTTAGACAAAATACTTTCAGGCGCAGACAAAAATTCAGTTCCCAATAACAGATTTCACAAGAAGAAGCTTTCAATACACGAAAAGAAATATAATTCAAGTCACATTTGTTGCAGTCGGCGGCGTACACAGAAACAAAAAAAACTAGGAAATCATGGCTATGAAAACAAGACACTCACCTGCCAAAAAACGGCAAAGTTAGTTCTCTGTGGGTGACAGGCCGCCGACTGCGCCGACGAAAGGCCTCGGATCCGTTCTTATGGGCACCAAATCCGGTTGCCCGGATGATGAAATGATGCTCGTCCACGTGGTCCTGTTCTTTGTCGACGCACGCTGCGTCAGAAGTCCCTCACGCGCCGGCAGCTGGGAGCGACGATGGCCGCGCTCAAAACCAGACAGTGCCGGTACGGTGGAGGCAATCCGTTCTGCCAAAAAACGGCAAAGTTAGTTCTCTGTGGGTGACAGGCCGCCGACTGCGCCGACGAAAGGCCTCGGATCCGTTCTTATGGGCACCAAATCCGGTTGCCCGGATGATGAAATGATGCTCGTCCACGTGGTCCTGGTCTTTGTCGACGCACGCTGCGTCAGAAGTCCCTCACGCGCCGGCAGCTGGGAGCGACGATGGCCGCGCTCAAAACCAGACAGTGCCGGTACGGTGGAGGCAATCCGTTCTGCCAAAAAACGGCAAAGTTAGTTCTCTGTGGGTGACAGGCCGCCGACTGCGCCGACGAAAGGCCTCGGATCCGTTCTTATGGGCACCAAATCCGGTTGCCCGGATGATGAAATGATGCTCGTCCACGTGGTCCTGGTCTTTGTCGACGCACGCTGCGTCAGAAGTCCCTCACGCGCCGGCAGCTGGGAGCGACGATGGCCGCGCTCAAAACCAGACAGTGCCGGTACGGTGGAGGCAATCCGTTCTGCCAAAAAACGGCAAAGTTAGTTCTCTGTGGGTGACAGGCCGCCGACTGCGCCGACGAAAGGCCTCGGATCCGTTCTTATGGGCACCAAATCCGGTTGCCCGGATGATGAAATGATGCTCGTCCACGTGGTCCTGGTCTTTGTCGACGCACGCTGCGTCAGAAGTCCCTCACGCGCCGGCAGCTGGGAGCGACGATGGCCGCGCTCAAAACCAGACAGTGCCGGTACGGTGGAGGCAATCCGTTCTGCCAAAAAACGGCAAAGTTAGTTCTCTGTGGGTGACAGGCCGCCGACTAATAATAATAATAATAATAATAATAATACATTTAATAATAATAATAATACATTTATTGACCCATTCAGACGAGAGAAGCAGGATGTGAATATGGGTACATCAAAGCCAATAAAGGCTTGTGTGATGACACCCTAAAAAAAAGGACATATGTGTCTGCCTAGGTACAAAATAAAGTAAAATTCATACACAAAAGTTTTTTTAAACAATTATTATTAATTGTTTATTAATTAAAAATTAATAATAATAATAATGATGATAATAATAATCAATCAATGTTTCAATCAATGTTTTTATTCGTGCCCGGGAACAACCTTGCGGTCTTGGTACAGGTGCAGTGTGTTAACATGTAAGGCAGAACAGGGTATAAAGCAATAGTACGGACAACACAAACAACGGACAAGCCCTAGAAAAATACACTTAAAAATTATAAAAAGTAAACACAAAGTCACAACACACGATAAGCTTAATGGTACTACCGCCAACACCAATTGCTAGAAAGAAAGAAAAAAAAATGCATTCAAAGTGGGGAATTTCGGCGTGAACGCCGCAAGTTAGTGCATACAGTTCAAATTTAAGTGATAATAATAATAATAATAATAATAATAATAATAATAATAATAATAATAATTTTATTGCAAATATGAAACATCAATACAAAAGAAAGCAAGTCTGTCAAAAGCCAATAGCGGCTTGTACAACTAGACTCGGCATCGACGTAGAGAAAAAAACTGTTATACGTAAACATAGCATAAGACGAAAGTAAACACAAGTTACAGGAATTGCAAACAACTCTACAAAAAAAAAAAAGAACACGCCAAAGAAAAAAAAATACCACAAAGCATAATGGTTCTGGAACCTTAACGAACAACATAGGTAGAAAACATAATACAAAACATCGCATTAAAAAAACAATACCACTAAACATGCCGAAAAAGAACAAAACAAAAATATATTACGCAACTCATTCATGAATACGCGCATAAGTCAGCTAAAAAACACAAGGGAAAGAGAAAAAAAAAAACACGAGCCATATATGTACGTACATATCTGAAAAGAGCAGTGAAATGAAATATTAAAGGCCGAGTTTTCAAGGTCTTAGCAGATCGTTCTTAGTAGTTTTTTAAGTTTACGTTTTGAATCTAATTCAAAAAAGGTATTGGAAAGGCCGTTAAAAATTCCAGGGACATAAAACGAGCGCAGTCGTTGTCCATACTTCGTATACACACGTTGGATGATGAAACGTTCGCTATCTCTTAGAGCGCGCCGTCCAACCCTAGGAGTTTTAAAAGGGCTTGACCAAATGTGTTTACTAATAACAGACCTTTGGAATAGAGCAGAAAAACGCGGAAGACATAAATATTCAAACAAATCCTCACTTGGGATATTTATCGATGTATACGCTACGCTTTTTAAAATGCTTTTCAAGATGCTATCAATTTTATCTTGCCAGAGCATAGAACACTTTGCATAGACAGTAATGCCATATCTTAACAGACCATACGCTAAAGCATTCGCGATCATTTTTCTAACAGAAAGAGGGAGAAACATTTTCGTAGAGTATAACATACATGATACACCTCGTATTTTTTTAGCAACGTAACTAAGGTGAGAGTTCCAGGACATATCACTGTCAAAATAAATTCCTAAATACTTATTTGTATGAACATATTCGAGAGGATTACATCTGCAGCTCGTACAGTTTGACGAGTGTAGCACAAAAGGAACATGTGAACTCATACGTTTTAAAGGACTATTGAAACACATCAGTTTTGTTTTATGAACATTAATTTTAATAAAATTGGCGTCAAACCAGTTCATTACCTGGGTAGCATTAGCTTGCAATAGGTTAATCGCATTGTTACAATTTATATGCGTTGACAATAGCAGCGTGTCATCAGCGTATTGAAATATTTGACATCCTGAGACAGATTTCGCGAGGTCGTTTACGTACAAATTAAACAAAAGTGGAGACAAAATGGAACCTTGAGGTACTCCTGCTTTCAAGGACACTTTGGCGCTACTGGTATTGCAAGCTGAAACATGCTGCGTCCGGTTTGCTAGAAAATCTTGTAGTAAGTTGAAAAAAGGCCCCCTGAAACCGTAGCTGAAAAGTTTTTTCAAAAGTATTTTATGATTGATGGAGTCAAACGCCTTAGCAACGTCTAAAAACAGAGCGCAGGCATATTTGTTTTTTTCAAACGTGCTATGTAATGAATCGACGAGGTCTTCCAGTAGAGATTCTGTGCCACGTCCCGCAATAAAACCGTACTGCGACGGAGCTAAAAATTTAGACTTTTCAAGAAAAATTGTCATAGTTTTCAAAATGTGTTTTTCAAGTAGTAACGCTAAGCACGGAAGAATAGAGATCGGTCTGTAGCTTTCTACGTTGTTTCGCGTGCCTCCTTTGTAAAGTTGTCTCACGATAGCACTTTTAAGGCCCATAGGAATGATCCCTGAATTGACAATACCGTTTAAAATATATAATAAAATATTACTCATAACGTCAGAATTGCGCCGTAAGTCGCAAGGACGAATATTGTCCGCTCCAGGCGCCTTGTTGGGCTTAAAGCTAAATAAAAATATAAGTAAATCTTCCACAGTCATGGTGGGCAAAAAGGCGGATGACAAACTCGAATATTGCAGATTAATGGGCGTGATAAGATCGTCCTGTGACGCACCTGAAACAGTAGCAAAAAAGCGATTAAAAGTGTCAGCGATTTGCGACGTATTGGAGCCAAAATATTTTGCAATTGAATTATCTATAGATGACTTGCTGGAACATCCCTTTACTTCATTTAAAATAGCCCAGGTTTTAGAAACGTCATGACGAGATTGGAAAAATTTTTGTTGGAAGTGTTGGCGTTTTTTGGAACGCACTAATGCACTCGCGCGATTTCTAAGACTCTGGAATTGCAATTTTAACTCCTTGTTATGGGGAAAACGACAACATCTCGCCCATAAAACGTCTTTTTCTTTGATAACTGAAAGGACGTCAGCAGTTAACTAAGGTTGATTTCGTTTGCGTCTTTTGATCCTGATGGTTTTCGTGCAAATTGCTTTAACTCTAACGTTCTCCGTATCGTTCGAGCAGTTGAGAACGTTTTCGATGTGTTCGTCTTAACAGAAATAAATGTTCAAGAAGTGGCCATATCACAAGGTCATTTTTCTTTATCTGGTTTTGAAACTTTCTTTCTAACTCGCAACTCGGCTAGAGGAGGAGGCATAGCCGTATATGTGAAAAACGTTTGGTCAACGGTTGATTTAAATATCTCGTTCAAATCTGCAGAGTGCCTTTCGTTAAAACTCAGTAAATCAAATTTTATTATATGTCTCTTGGCGTTTTATAGGCCGCCCTCGGAAAGTGTATCTACGTTTTTAAATGAGCTGAACACGAGTTTATGCAATTTTGTGTCTACTGATAAGCTTTGTCTTGTGGGTGACCTTAATATTGACCTTTTAAAGCCTTCTAAATCTAATGTGTGCGATTATTTAAATATCCTTGCAGATTACGGTATTGAAAGTGTCATTCACGCTCCCACGAGAGAAGAATGCTTATCTGGCAACCTTGTTTCATCTTGCATTGATCATATAAACATTAGAAATTCGGGGGTTCCAGTAATGTCGGCTCTAATTGCGCAAAAATTGG